CATCGACAATTCCACCACAGTATGTGATATAGGAAAATACCTTCCTTGAAATTTATATATTTCCTGTGACTCAAGGGCACTCGTTGCAATGTAGCGTAGTGGTTAGTGTGTCGAGAATATACACTGGACTGTCATGGTTCGAGTCCCGTTGGGGGTGCTGATAAAACCTAGACGAGTTTGAAACTGCAGTCCACTTCAGACTGGACGATAATACCTTTTGGGAAAACAAGGCTATGTAAAATTCAATGGAAGCCTAAGTTGTACTCATCTATTTTGGAAAAAGCGTGACTAAGTAAGAGAGGTTTAAAGACTAGCTGAAGATATTAAATATCAACTTTAGTTCATATAGGTGATGAAGGACACATATTCGATTGCATTTCATTTAACACTGCGTCCCAAAAGGTATTCTATAGTGCCTTGATTGTGGTTTGGATCTTGGCTGGGTATAAAATGCATGAATGGAGCAAGCGTATATTTTCGGCAGATAAAACCATTATAGCCAAATACGTTGCTTAATTTGCCAGTTAGAAGCTTCAGAAAGTATAAGTTGATATTAAATAGGAAGCCGGAAGAGGTGGCAACTAAGATTTACCGTTGATGGGAATAACAACAAGAGGGGAAAGAATTAAATTCAATGGTAGAGAATGGACGTCAGGAGAATCCTTCTGCAACCAGGGCTATCTACATGTGTATAATAGTTTCCTAACTCAAGTTTAATAATTATTCTGAACAGATTTAGTGAGATAGTGTGTGCCCGTTTGAATGATGAAGAGTGATTTGTGTAACTAAATTGTTACAGATTACTTTGGATTGATTTTTATATATTGTATAGAGTAATTTGGTTTTAGTTGGCTATTATGGTATACAAGTGCCGGCAAAGTACACTCATATAGACCTATTAAACAATATGACACGATTGGAAAATAAACCATTTGTGGACAACGGAATAGCCCTAGGAATATTATAAATTCCACAATATAGGAAATCCCAAGTGGATACGGTTGAAAAAATCAGCTACTATTTGGTTGAATAATTGTAAATGTTGCCTATTTACATCGAATATTCAAGCATACAAGAGAAGATAAGAATGACTGGCTGAGTAGCAATTGAATCCGTTGTGTAGACTAGTTTAACTTTTAACAGGTCACGTGCTGATATGGTTAGTGCTATGATTCATGGCTATTTTCCAGGCCACAACAAGGAAGATTCCTAATTAACTAGTTAAGGTAGACATTAATGTTAGTTTAGCAGACTACTCGATGCTTTAAGTAATATATTAAACATACTGGAAAATAATTTGGTATGGACGCACTGTTATTGTCGGGTTATTAAGAACGTAATTACTGCGAAGGGCTAATAGAAGATTATCTGACTACTTGAAAGTGTGCGTAATATGGTTTATATGCCTATATGATTTTCCTATTTTTTATTAGAGCTATTCACTTTCTGTTAGTTATTAAATAGGGTTTCGAAACTATGCCTATATCTTGAGTAAGAACTGTTTAATATATTTCATTTCAGGGGCCAGATGTAGAAGGGGTGGTGATTTGCGGTTAGAAATTGACCATGTAGCAGAATAGACAGTAACTTGTGAAGAGCTTAACAATTTTGACTATTGAAGAGGGTAAAAATCTCTTGATTTGTTGCATTACTCTCCATTTCGAAGGGAAAATTAGTTGGGAGGACTTGGTGATATAGATCACCGGAATATGGAAGATTGTCGCGTAAGGAGGACTGCTGAATTGTGCGATGAAATACTTGACTAACCGTCCGTATTAATTTTCTCTCGAATAGATGCTATGAAGGAGCCTGTTTGGTGCAGGATATACTGTTTCTAAACAATTACACATTGGGATTATTAGACAATCACATATCACTTGTAGTTAATAGGGTTAGGGCTAGACAACTCGACAATTTTACTCGGTTCCTGTCAGCTTGCGAAAAAGTTGGGTGAACTACTGAGGAAATGGACATAAAAACAATGTATAAAGAGTAGTTACTTCGATTAGAGAATATTCAGACCTTCTTTCTAGATCAGGCTGTTACAAGGTTTTGTGCTCATGTGGGGGAGACCTGCATACCCATTCACAAGAGACTATGCAAAGACAAAACCGCTTGTAAAGATCTATAGGTCCAAAAATCTAAGCTCACTGAACACACGACCAATACAGGACACTGGTACAAAGCACGTTTTGGAAGTTACGGGTACTTGATGTCAAAAGCGTGAAACTAGGGAGTTTATAGAAATTAACAAATCAGCCAACGTCCTGAATAGGAGAAACGAGTGTAGAAAAGTAAGTAGAAACATTTTATGGCTGATGGATAGACTTAAGGACAGAGAAAGAGGGGGTGCAGAAAGAGCCAATGAGCAAGGGGCTAGATTTGCCTCGTGTCTAGGTACGACTATCACACTTCCCATGACATGAGCATTATTTACATACAAGAGACAATAGCACAAGCCCATTCTAGATTTGTGTGATGAAGCAGCTGCAATTCCTATTCGGGAAGTTAACTTCACACATTTGCAATCATGTAGAGTTGTAGTAGCCAATCAAATCAGGGGAGGCCTCATTAAGATCGCGATGTTAGGTGTATAAAAAAGCGACCGGCCACCTTCTTCTCTTGGTTTAGTATATTTTTGCTCTATTTCGTAAAATATAGAATCTTGCTCTAACGATGTCTGTCAGGGCGATACAGACGGAAGCTTAACAGTCTCATTGGGGTCGCAGAACGGTGAGCCGGGGACTTATTCGGACAATTCAACATTGTCTCCTGCGTTGCAATTACTCTTGGGTTTACAGTGAGATCACGAATTTCCTTCCAACCAACTTCTACTTCGAAATGGAGCGTCATACTAAATTATTTCACTCTTGGTTTTACCTACGTGTAATAGTATTGATATACTGGTCTAGGATTTCAGAAAAGTCTGCACAAAATACAAGGGAATAAAATCTTTATTAAAATAATAGTCGAAATATCTTATCGAAATAATGGTCGACATATACATTTCCGTTAAAAGTGCAAATATAAATCTGCATGGTTAATCTATCGAATTCGAGAAAAATATTATCTGTTTCTATACAAAATGAACTATGTACAGATCTGGAAAGACTGGTAAAAATATGAATAGGGATTAAAAAGAGTGATAGTCATCTATCGCATTAATGCATCTTGGGGGCATCTTGGACTCTTGAGGATTTTTATACCATGTGATCTGTTCCTTGTTACAACGCCACAGGTAGTTGCTGGCCGTATTAGAATCTGCACGTAACGACGGTTGGCAACTAGGTTGCGCACATCGGCTACCTCTGAGTTGCCAGTGCAAGGGATGCCCTGCACCGAAACCAGACGATCGCCTACATGGAAGACGTCCCAGAGTGCAGCAGCAGACTTGACATCTGCCAACCGACTAACGTAGATACCTAAAGTGTAGGAAGATGAATTAGAGCGACTGTATTATAATGAAGAGGCTGGACAGAATGGGCAGCTCAACTCACCGTTTATGTCTTTGGCAATGAAGAAACCGAACTGTCCATCAATGCTCGACCGTTTTAGCTGGACCAAAAGGGACCCGTCTGGGTGGCGTTCAATGATGGAACACTTGACTGCTTCGGATGGTTGCAATCTGGCCAAAGGTAATTGGTTTCTCGTGTCCAAGTGTCTGTGGGCGGCCAGGCGACCAGCGGTTAATGAGCACGGGCTGACCGATCTTCTTCGCACAAGACGAGGCTTGACTGCACTCGAGGCAACTGGATTGGCCAAGCTAGGAGTGTTCGTGCCGGGCGGGGATGCGTGTTCGCGACGCAGCAGGTGGCCGGCTCTTTGGAGATGGTTGACGTGTGGGGTTGCAGGCGCCTCAGAGTCGCTGATGCGATTGAGGCGATCGGCGCTTATGGCGCGTCGGATCTGTCCAAACGTCTTCCTCAGACTCGAGAGCACCTGGTTGGCACCAGAACTTCGTCGGCTAATGAAGGGAGAGGTTAGAAAGAGCATAAAAATGGTATGTAGATTTTACTTGGCAACAGATCGTCACGTTATTTTTGTTGCTCAAATAGTGTTTTGCTATTTATATGGTTGTACATTTGGGACAATCCCATCTGCTTAGTGGTTAACGTGTCCGGCTGTGGGTGAGGTTGAAACTGCAGTTTACTTCAGCATGGATATGAAATCGAATGAACGAAGCCAACGTAGAATCGGCTTATCATTGTGGGAAAATACGGTGAAATATATAAA